AACAAGCTAAGTACAGGTCATGAATAGACAAGGAGAAAGATACAGCAATTGCACTTAAATACTTCACATACTAATGTGATCTACTATTTACATGTTCAACTTCTTGTCGCTTCTTGACGCAGTTATAGATGTACGAGCATATAGAACTAATAATACAAGATTTATCAACGATTAGTGGAGATTCCAGGAGGGCGTCAATTCACTGTACAGTGAGGAGAGTCGTGTAATAAAGTGCCTTTTCTAAAGGCAATTAACATCGGGCATGTCAGGGGATCGAACCCGGTGTCAAGCCAAATACATGATCCTGCCAAATACATGACTCCGACACTACTTGGGGGATTTCCAATATACCTGAGACAAGGGGTGGGAGAGGTTTTGTCGTGATGTGGGAGACTAAACCTATCCTAACCCCAATCGTAAATTCTAACCCTAGCCCTGAACAATAATCCCAACTCTAACCCTAGCCCTAAACACCTGACCTCTCACGTATGTGGCAGCTCAAGGATTTGGCTCTACATCGGGACCTCTTGGTTCCGAGCTGAACGCTCAGACCTCAAAGTTTGTCGAGATAGTATTTTATTTGTTTACGCTATTATTTTTCAAAAACAAAAACTTTCTCCCCTCTTCACACTCCAGGTGAGATCAGACACGTGAGAAAATGACGACCCGTTTGTTCCTGCTGCTCGCCCTGGCCAGTCTGCTGACCGTCTCCTACGGTAATTTATTTATTTAATTTATTGAAAAATGCAACAAGACATTACACTGACTCTCAAGGCAGCAAAGCTGATATTAGAGAGTCAACATATAAGGACAAAACACATAGGACACATAATTTCAAATACAGTGTGAAATGCAATAACAATCATAAAAACTTAACCTATGTCATTCTAATTAATTGCGTACATATATATATACATAGTAAAAATAACGCATTTGGAGGTCAGAGGTCCAGAAAAAAATAGACTGCCTCATAAGAGAAAATTGATACTAAATAACAAGGCTAGGAGGAACAGCTGGAAGTGCCTAGAAACGGTTTGTTGAAGTGATGTAGGTGTGGAAGGCGTGTGAAAGGCTTTTGTTTAATGTAATGTCATTGCCTGGGGATCCTTTGAGTAGAACGCTGGTGGAGAGGGGCCGTCTCACGAAGCGGTACACAGCTGTGGCAAGGTCTACCAATTAAAAAATCCATCCAGTTTGAAAAGACTAAACTACTTTATTATTTTATTACCACCTGGGATGAGTAACCTTCACCAAGGTAACTGGTACGATGGTTACGTCGTCCATAAACTTACACTTAACTACCAACCAACCCCCTTATAATCAGGACAATGGCTTGATAAACGGCCTGACATTCATATTTCATTATTGATCATATTGTTCATCATAGAGCCATTTGGTCTCTACTT